TATATATATATATTTTTTTTATATTATATTGACCTTTCAGCCATGCTTGGCTAACAATACAGAAGTTAAAATGATATGGCACATGTGCACTCATGTTACCGTATCTAATAATATAACACTGACCTTTAGTCTTTACAAAGTGACCTGTCTTGGCTGTATTTTAGTAGACTAGTATTTTGTAAAATAGTCACATTTCAATTATTATACATAAAATATGTATATAGATTATTGCTGTTTAGAAATAAGTTCTTATACTTGGTTTTCTTAAAACATAGAACAGTAAATAAAGAAGTAAAGAAAAAATTATCTCTTCCAGTTATGACCTTTGTACTCGGTACCTTGACATAGGTTGCTAAGCCATTTAAAATTTTGCACATGGAGAATATGAAACGAAATATTTTTTTTAGGTTTTATACATACATTTGAAAAACCAAAAAATTATAAATTACTATATCCATACCACAGAATTCCACTATAATTTTTCAAGCTCAGTAACTAATTTGTATTTCATTCTAAAAGAATATGAAATTTTGTGCAGACTAAGGACACAACCTACCTCTTTGATATTTTGGTTCGAAAGAAAAAGATGGCATCCACATGTGTTAAAATGGCTGTGAAAGCAACTAGGGGACATTCTAAGCTTTTGATTGGTTATTCATGTCATGTGTAGAAGTAAGTGTATATAAAAGAGCATTTGCACAAATGGATTTATTACATGAGCAATATCTTAGCAAATTGAAAAGATAAGGTGCTGTTATTTTATATTCTAGCTTGTCAATATTGGTAATCTGAGTTTATAATTCATAAGAAACTACAGACTTAGTATTTTGACATCACAAACATCTAATTTGAAACAGTGCTGCATTCAACATACCATGTGACACACAAAAATCTATGTTTAACTGTGTTTTTTAATATTTACTTCTAAATTAAAAAGTTTAGTAAGGTATAATACTAAAATTTGAATTATAATCTACCATTTGATACCAAACTTATTGACAGAAATT